TCTGTCATTCAGGATAGTGCTTTTGATGATGGAAATGTGGAATATTGGAAGATATTAAAAGAAAAATCTGCAAATAGGCATGTAACTTCTTTTTCAGTAAAATATGAGCATAGGCATGTTCAGAGGTCTATATAGGCCAGTGCTCCCTGTCTGAGCCCTGGTCAAAGGTAAATAGATTGGTAAATATATAAAAAAATAAGCACATATTATCCATGAATTCTCTCCCAGGCTGCAATCATCTGTTATTCAGAGACTTGATGAGGCAGAGGCAGTTTCTTTGCACAGTCCACTTCTATTCTGGTAACATGTCCAGCTTCCCCTTCAATCTGTGTATATTTTCAGCATTCAAAGTACCCTGTTGTAAAAATGTCTACAGGTTACCCATGTATTTTTGTAAAGAATTGCTTTCTTTTGTTTTGAGCCTGCTGGTTGCACCTGTGCTTCCTCCACAGTTGGACCTTTCCCTACTCCCTTTCTCTGTGAAGCTTTGCTATGACAGAGGGACAGAGGCGCCTTTGTCTTGCCTTCTCCAGGCTGAAGAATTATAGATTTTTTAACTTGTTCCTTGAATAGAAGCTATTCCCTGGCTTTGTCATAATTCTTACCTTTTCTAAAACTTTTTGTGACATTGAAACACCCTGGTAAGACTGGAGCCATAGCAGACTCTGGACTCAGCTCGGGGTTGAGAGCCTCAGGACAGGCCACCACGTATGCTTCTCATGTGGGCTGAATGTAGCCTTTATACTGCTGCGGTGGGTTGTCCTTGGCTGGACGTCAGGTGTTCACCAAGCTGCTCTATCCCTCCTCCTCCTCAGCTAGACAGGGGAGAGAAAAATATAATGAAAGGATTGTGGGTTGAGATAAGGACAAGGAGATCACTCACCTATTGCCATCATGGGCAACATAGACTCAACTTGAGGAAATTAATTTATTGCCAATCAAAATCAGAGTAGGGTAATGAGAAATAAAAACTAAATCTTAAAAACACCTTTGCCCCCACCCCTCTGTTCTTCCTGAACTCAATTTCACTCCCCGTTTCTCCACCTTCTCCCCGAGTGGCACCAGGGAATGGGGAATGGGGGTTGTGGTCAGTTCTTCACATGTTGTCTCTGCTATTTTTTCCTCCTTAGGGTGAGGACTCTTCACACTCTTGCCCTGCTCCAGTGTGGGATACCTCCTACAGGAGACAGTCCTCCACAAACTTCTCCAACATGAGTCCTTCCTATGGGCTGCAGTTCTTCATGAACTGCTCCAGCGTGGGGTCCTCCACGGGCTTCAGGTGGCTATCTGCTCCAGCATTACCTTCCATGGGCTGCAGGGGGACAGCCTGCCTCACCATGGTCTTCATCATGGGTTGCAAGCGGTATCTCTGCTCCAGTGCTTGGAACACCTCCTCCCTCTCCTTCACTGACCTCGGTGGCTGCAAAGTTGTTTCTCTCACATATTGTTACTCCTCACGCTGGCTGCTCTTGCACAGATTATTTTTTTTTTTGTCCCTTCTTAAATATGTCCTCACAAAGGCGCTACCACTGTCACTGATGGGTTTGGGCTTGGCCAGCAGCAGGTACATCTTGGAGCTGGCTGGCATTGACTCTGTCGGACATCGGGGAAGCTTCTAGCAGCTTCTCACAGAAGCCACCCCTGTAGCCCCCTTCACTAGTAAAGCCTTGCCACGCCAACCCAATACAATTGGTAAGAACTGTGGTTGTAGAAATGGGAGTACTTGAAGTCCACGAACCCTGTGATCCTCTTAGCTGCCAATGTGGTGTTCCTGTGTCTGGCCCTGCTCTACAGAATTTTTGTTCACTTCCAGCTTAACCTTGGAAGTGTCTGACCTAGTGTGGCCCTTGAGAGGAGGGAGAAAAAAAAAAGTATTCCTAGCATTTTATTTTTTTTCTACAGACATATTTGTCAATCTGGTTGAATGTAGAGATATAAGAGAATGGTTTTTTTTGTGGCTTGTTGGGAAGGATTGTGAGGTTAGTGAGAGTATGTGTTAATTTATGAGGGTTTAATTGTGGAACAGCAAATAGAGGTGCTGTGAAGAGTGAATGTAGGTGTAAAGGTCCTTGAAAGCTTCCTGCTCACTTGGGTGAGAATGGCACTGTAGTGGTAATTTTTGCAGAAGTAAATTATTGTGTTCACAAGACACATGTATTAAAAAGTGGATTTGTGAATGGTTTGTGTGGACTGTTGCGTGGATGTGTTGGCTGGTCCGTTTCTTCAGTCATTCATAGCAGAAAAATCAGTGGAAATGCTTTTCTTGCAGTGCTGGTCCCAGGAGCGATGATCACAGCATGGGTTTTGGGGAAACATGTTCAAAGTTAGAATCATTGACCTCATTTGGCCATCCCACTGAAGGACAGCTTGAATAGCACTATACTTTGTAGTGCTGCAAAATTGGAGTTTCCGTCACTTTTCTCAGCCCTTTCACTAATACAGTATGAATGCATTGAATGTCTGCGGGACGACAGATGCCTTCCTGCTATAATCCTTTAAAGTTACCTCACTTTTTCTTTTTTATGACCAATTTGATTTCAAGGAAGCAGAAATTTAACAAAAGCTTATTGAACAGAATTAAACTCTTCATGTGTTTAATGAAGCGTAGTTTACTATAGCTGCCTCCCTAAGCCAGTTTGTTTTGTCTACCCTTTGGAGTGCTACCCTGTAAAGAAATCTAACACTCTGCAGTTTCCTGTTATTCATTTCATTTAACTTTGGCTATAAATTACCTTTGGCTCTATTACAAAGCTTTCAGAAGATAATCAGAAGAAAACAAGAGTCAGGAAGAAATAATACTGATTTGTTTTTATTCTATAAATCTGCTTTACTGCCAGCGAGCTGGGCACAGCATTGGAAAAGAGAGGAGTCCAAAGAAGGATGCTATTTCTGGTTGGCAGCACACAGGAGTTAATTTAGTATGGTCAGTCTAGAGTGTCGTTCCTCAACCACTACCACCATGTCATCCAAATTAGCAAAGAAAATCTTTGTTATTTTATACTTTTATTGCTATTTTAATTTTTCTTCAGCCCAGTTTTCCTTATTTTCAGTGCCTTTGAGAAGTTGCACGATTACTGGTTCATTGATTACTCCTAACATTGCTTACAGACTCATAAAGTTTGTGTTACCATACAATTATTTTACATTTAATCATTTTTATCTAAGGACACATTCTTGTAGAAAATAACCTGTGAGAATAGTGTCGTAACAATTGCTGGCAGTAAATGTTTGTGGTCATAGTCGTAAATTCAGATATGATACAAGTGATTGGAGGAAATGAGATAAATGGAATTAGAGAAGATAAGTTCAAAAAACTGATTGAGCTGTTGAGTTCTGTAGATCTTTCACTTAGAGTCTACTGGATTTGCACAGAGACTCTGGTCATTGCTAGAGGCTATATGAAATAATAAGTTAATATCTGCCTGTAATGTCACTTTCCAGTTTCTCAACAAAAATTTGAGCATAAAAAGATGACAGCTTATGCAAACTAAGAGTTTTATTATTTCTCTCTCCTACCCCCACTCCTCATTTCAGTTCAAGGAGCTGCACACTTAATGAGACAACAGAGAGAAATAGAGCTCTTTTGTCTCCTTGTGTATACTTTAAAATGTAACTTAATGTTCTCTTTTTGTACTCAGGCCCAGTTAAATACAAAAGCCGTGGAGAGAATGAGCAGAAAAATATAATAACTTAAAAAAAAAAAAAAGGAAAAGCATAATAAGATCACATCACTTTAAAGAAAATTCACTAATATATTTGTTCTTTTGGGTGGAATTGGAGTGGTGGCAGGAAAGGCCGAGTTAGGTACATTCATTTTTTCTGCGGTCTTGCTGAACACCCATTTATACGACCAGCTTTCAGGGAATGTCTTAGTATTGTTAAGTATGTAGGAGTCTTTGGGCTGTTGGGACTGATACAATCGTCCTCTTGTTTCGTTCAAACATTTCTATAGCACTTACATGTATGAATTCTATACAATGTGGGACTTGTCCTCTTTGTCCAAGTTGCAAATGTTTGATGAATGTGGCTGAATCAGTTTTAAGCAGCATGCTCTAGGACATTGTCAGTGCAAGAACATTTCCTTGCTTGCGACTTGCGGTATCGTTTCCAGAGAAAGAGTTCTATTCTTAGAGGGTATCTTTTTGGCACGCTTTCAGAATAACTTTATAACGCTGATGAGCGTGTCAGTTGGCAGAACTGCTCACAATTGCGAGTAAAAGAATGTTGTTTACTTAAAAATTCTGAAAGCTCTAATCTTGAGGCTTCTGTTCACTTTTGCGCTGAATGGATGTAGCAAAACCTGTGTTTAAAATTCCAGAAATCTATTCCAGAGTTTATAAAGGAGGAATTCTGTGGGTGCACATTTTCTTAGACTTCTCTTTCTTCAATGTATATAAATTCTCTTCTGCCTAATTAAATTTGTGGAGCAGATTTGATAATCTCAAAGCTGTTGCATTTCATTAATTATTTTTTAACAGTTTCTTTACTGTTTAGGAGAACTTCACAGAATATCTTGCAGGGTGTGCATGCACATTGCTGAATGAGATAGCATCATCTTAAATGGGAATGACTATCTTGTAATCACAGTTTAAAACATTGGTTTTCTATGAAACATCTTTTTCTAACTTTCTCAGCATTTGGCCACTTGTAAATCCTGTTTGTGCAAAAATAAACAGAATCCTGTTAATACAGGAAATACCATTCCACTGTCATTCACATATCATAATCAATACCTGCCTTTCTTATCAGAGGGATAGGTATATTTATTAATTCCTTTTTATGCAGGATTATAAAGTAGCCACATAAAATATGAAAGTCAAGTCTTTCCCTCTCTCAAATTTTGAGGAAGGGAAAAAAATCAGCCCTAATCTTTGCTGGGAAGGACAAAAACTTCAAATTTTAGTAAATAACTTTATAGTATATTTTTAAAAATGTCATCATTACTGAGATTTTTTAAAATTACTGATATATTTCTTTCTTTGTTTGTTTGTTTCCTTAAGGAATCCTTATACTTTAAAAGTAAGTTTTATACATTTTTTAAAAGTTCAATATTCTTAGAAGGGTCTAAACTGGAGACTAGTTGTAATACCCATGTTGATGCTAACGTTTTGTGTATGGTGCATGTATGCATGCTTAATTAAAAGCACTTCCATGTCCTTAGTTTATTTGGAAAAGCTGAATCAATACTGCTGTATAGAGTTATAAAGGAGGAGAGAGAGTTTAGTTGCAACTTTTAAAAGGAGATGGCCCTAAATTTCTTGCTTACAGCATTTTTTATTACTTTTGAAAAATAAAACACTTGAGTTTTTTCAGGAAGTATAATTTTTCTAAGGACTTCAGATTTCTTTCATGAACATACAATAGTTCCATCAGATTGTCCTTTGTATGGGCAAAAGTTGTAAGATATTATTTATCTTTTTTAATGTAAACAATACTGTTCCATGCATCAGAAAATGCTTTGCTTTCCATTCTGCTCAGTCTGCCTGTGGAGTGAGAAATGGGAACCCTCCACCCCATTCCTGAAAAGAAACTGTGTTTGATGGTTGCTAGTGCATATCATTAATACATTGGCATACATTTTCTGTGTATATACAGCAATCACAACTTTATTGCTAAAAAGGATATCAGGGTAAAAGAATCAATACCCATGATACCTGGCATTTTCAGTACCTTGAGTTTTGGAATTCACTACTTGAACTCTTTGTATGTGGTTTTAAATTCACCTGTTAGAAAATGTGTCTTGTTCTTCTTGTAGTAAAGTTATTCTAATGTTTTTTGATAACACATAAGTTACCAATAACTTCTATTGTTTGTTGTGCTGTTTTGTGTGAAGCATTTATATAATTTGAATTTGAAACCATTTTAAACTTTACAGGATTAATGTCAAAAGTAATCTAGCTCTATATTAATCTTAGACATGTTTTTCTCAGTCATTCAGCACACACAAAACAGTAGCATTTCTGAATGATTCTCTGTTCTGGATTACCCTCAGCGCTCCAGGTAGTTACTATTAAAGAGTACACAGGAAAAGCACCCAACAAAAGATCTGGTCTTACATACCATCGTTTACTTAACCACCAAATGTTGCAGATCTTTGTCCTTGTGCCTGGAGCACTGAGTTTGTTAGGAGCCAGCCTGCATCTGCCTGGAGGTATTGGTAAGATGCGCCGCAGAATGCAGATCAAGAACAGATTTCAAGTGCAACCACGCTTAAGGTTCTGTGTTTGGAGTATTTGGAGTCTGAAGAAATCACTATGTTTTATTTACGAATATGACAAGTCCAGCTTGCAATCCAACCACTTATCAGCTTCACTGAATCATAAAGAAGCTATTGCATGCCATTTATCCTGGAGTCAAACAGTAACTCAGTCTGGAGGGGAACGCTGTAGGTGACCTCACCCAGTCTCCTCCTCTCAGCAAGGCTAAGTTAGGTGAGGCTGCTCAGGTCTTACCCAGTTCTAACAATGGAGATTCACAGCCTGTCTGGGAGCCTGTCCCAGAGCTTGACCACTCTGTGTGACAACTTATCATCCCTGTGTTCATCAGGCCTTGTCCTGCTGTAGCTTGCAACCTCTGGCATTTGTCCTATTGCTTGTGCCCTTGAGTTAAACTGCCTCCTCTGTGCCCTCCCTTTAGACGGTGGAAGACTATGAGATCCTTAACTTTCTCTTCTTCAGGCTAAACAACCAAAGTCCTTCAGTTTTTCCTCCTGCATCATTTGCTGCAAACACTTGCACGCTTTGGGTAGTCCTCCACTGAGCTGCCTCCATGTCTCTCATGCTGGGCACAGGTCTTTTGATGCAGCCTCAGGAGTGATCAGTTCCATCATCTGGTGGCTTGTGCAGAAGGGTGTGTGTTTTAGCCCTTGTTGCCGCAAGGGTGCACTGCTGACTCGTTCATTTTGCTGCCCACCAGGACCCCCAGGACCTTCCCCACAGAGCTGCGCCTTATCAGTGGCTGCCCCTACCTGCCCGGGTCCCTGCAGGCCACTGAATTTCCCTGGGCTGACCCTCAGCAGGCTCCTGAGGGGCTGCTCCTGTAGCCTGTGGAGGTCCCTCTGCGAAGCAGCCTTGCCCTCCAACCTGTACACAGTGTCTCCCTTTTTCTTCTCACATTCAGACATGTTGAGTTTGCATTGCACTACATTACTGGTAAAAACATTAGATAGCATCAGCCTCCATAGGAACTCCTTCAAACCAATGACCTCTACCTTTTGACCCCAATGGTCCAGCCAATTTTTACCTACCTTGTACTCTACCCATCAGTCCGTATTGTCCTCAGCTTGGCTATGAGGAGAAGTGATCAGGTATTTGATGTTGGTGAGTGTTGAAAGCTGAAGTCAAGGTAAATGACATGGGCTGCCATTTGCTCATCCACAGAGCCAGCCACCTCATCACAGAAGATGGGTTGCTCAAGAGCAACTAAGTAGTGGCTTCTGTCTGTCATCTCCTTGCTCTTCTTGTGCCTGGAGGCAGTTTCTGTTGGGACTTGCTCTTTTTGCTGTCTGAGAACTGAAGTGAGACTGCCTGCCATTCCCTGGATCCTCCCTCCTTGCTTATTTTTTTGGCATAACAATCTTAATGCTCTGTTTCTGATGACAGCGAAGTTTGACCTGATAGTTTCAAAGGGTCTCCATAGTGATACCAATGCTTTGTTCCCTAGTGAGCCTCGGTGCTTGTTTCAGATGCAGTTTTATCAGTTGCTATTGTAAACTCTTTGCTCACCCTCTCATGGGATTTTTTGAGATCTGACCATTCTAATTAACTGTTTTGCTGTTTCACTTTTCTGCTACTTTTCAAGAACACTAATACACCAGCAACAGTAGTCCCAGCACTGCTTCTTGAGGGATAACATTTATTGTCTCTTAATTAAAAAACAAAACAAAACAGCAAAAAACCCCAAACAAAACAAACCACCCCCGGAATACATACCTGCACTTCATTTTCTGTATTTTGCTAGTTATTAATCTTTGGGGAAACCACTTCTGGCCTAAGGCACCCTTATAAATCTCATCTAAAAATAATAAAATATAAAGGTTTCTATATAAATTCTATTAAAACAAGAATTTCCATTAAAAACACTTTACTCATTTATGTGCATGCTTTTAGTGTAGATATAAATTTACTTGTATGATTTCATTGACCTTTGTGGTACTAACTACAGTCTTTAACATTAAGCACATGAATAAGTGTTTTCAAAATTGAGGTTGTAAATAATAAGGTGTTTCACAGGGAGAAATGTGTCTCATTGATGTGGTTTTTTGTTTGTTTGTTTTGAGGGATTTTGTAAATTTACAGTTCACATAAATAACTTATTAAAGGCGCCATTAACATACCAAGGCATTGCAACACTGTTTTCTTATTTCAGAATGATCAAAATTAAGAGCACAGAATAATCTTCAAAGAACAAAAACCTGCACTGCCTTTTGCTCATGCTGACTTTAGAGAAATAAGACCTGCAAACAAGGATCCCCTGCTAAATACCAGACTTTTCCCCAGCTGCCCCATGCCTCAATATTAATTTATTTCAGTGCCTTTCAAAGGCATTGTTGGGTGTTATATATATAAAAGTAAAAAGTTTCCAGTACTGTTTGATATTTTTGGTCTAACTGTTCTTTGTCTGTGTTTTGGTCTCCTCTTAATCATTATCTTGTACTGAACTCGTTATGTTACTGGTTTGCCTCTAATGAGTCTGATGTTGGGCTGCCGGTGGAAGCACAATCTGCTTCGCGGACAACTGGCCGTTTTGGGAAATGGCAGTTGTGCTCTGGTGCAGCCTCCTGGAGACCGTATGTTAGAAGATATTTTCATGTTGTCCAGCTAGCTTGCTAATTCTGATCTTGACTGTTAATCTGCTCTGTTTTATAAATGACCCCTAGAAATCTGAGCAAAATAGGGTTAGGAATGTTGAAATAAGATCAGCAGATTTCGTAGCAATTAAAGCATAATTGCTGGAAGGTCAAACTAAACTTCACTTGAGTTGAAGGGGAAAGAGGAGGAGGAGGAGGAGGAGGAGAAGTCTTTAATAGCCAGAATGTTGTCATTAACCTTTCTTTTTGTTGTCCTCTCTTTTTTATAACAGGCTCATTGAAAAATAATTGTTAATTAATGACTTTTGTAAATCAGGTGCATTCAAATTCTTATTCTCTATATTTATGTACTGATTTTTAAAGATAATATCCAGCATGATATCACTCCTTAGAATGGAGTAGTAGTAGCCAGCACCATTATTAATTAGTAGTTATCTTTTTTTTTTTTAAGTAATTGACCAGACCTCAAAAGAAAACAACATAAAATCAAGTGCTGCAGCTCTTACACCTGGCATTCATTCTGCCAGCCCTGTTCCAGTTACAACAAAGTGGATTACACTGTTATTTCCTTTTGTATTGAGAAGAGAGAAAAACAACTATGAAAGTGTCTCCTTTACATAGGATATTAACATCCATTCAGATATGTCCTGGTGTGTTGAAAACTGAGATCTGTGCTGCTTGTAATACAAATTCCTGTGGTGCATAAATTCTGGCATTAGGCTCTGACATTCCAGTCCTTTCTAGACAGTATCATTTGTAGAGAATTGGAAGTTTTTCTTTAAAATTGTGCTTACAAGTAAGACAAAAAAAATAGGTAGAATAAAGTGTTCTTACATAAAACTAGAAGCTCCATTGGCATTAACTTGGATGATCACAGAACTTGAATTTTTCAGAATAGGAATTGGCAAGACAAGGTTGGGATGCATATAAACTGCAAGATCTAATTTTCAATTGTGTATTTTTTTTAGAATTTTAATGTAGATACAGTATTGATTTTAAAATTATTCTGCTATCTAACTAAGTGTTAATTTTATATGAAGGCTGGAGACTTACTAGACAAAACCCAGTCTGCCTTGTGTCACCTCTAAGCACATAACCTTTTTGTAGTGGAAATATTACTTTGGTCAGAAGTAGGATTTCATATGGAAAAATAAAAAAAAATTTAATGCTGTTGAGCCAGCTGGTAGGACCAGGACTATAAGAACTTCTG